TTCCTTCCCTCCTCCCTCCCTTCCTTTCTTCTTTCCTTCCTACCCTCCTCCCTTCCTTCCCTTCCTCCCTCCCTCCCTCCCTTCTTCCCTCCCTTCCACCCCTCCTTCCTTCCTTTCTTCCTCCCCTCCTTCCTCCCTCCCTCCCCTCCCTTCCTTCCGTCTTTCCTCCCCTCCCTGCCCCCCAGGCTGCTCCAGGAGCTCTTCCCCAGGGCCAGGGAGCTGTACGAGCGGGTGGCCAGCAACCGGGAGCACTGGACCAAAGTCTCGCACAAGTTCACCCTCCGGGGCCTTCCCAGCAACAACTCCCTGGATTTCCTGGACGAGGAGTACGACCTGCAGGCCATGGCCGAGAAGGACGGGCTGAAGATGAACGGCTGCCTGGACGGGGAGGATGGGCACGGGGATCCCGAGCTGGAATGAGGCCCATCCACCCCAGCCCCACACAAGTGCAACTTTGACCCCCTCCCTCCCCATCCCCAGGGAAAACTGGGCGGGGTGGGGGGACGCTGAGTTTGGAAACAAGCCCCCCGGGGCTTTTTACGTTTCTGCCGGGAACTGGATCTGCTGCAAGCCACATTTCCTTTTTCCCCACTTCTCCCAGTTCATCCCAGTTCCCCAGTCTGCATTTGAGGATCCGGCTTGGTCTGTTCGCTCTGGAGTCGCACCGGTTCTGCCTTCCTTGTTCCCTCGGTTGACCCTCCACCCCCCGCCCGGTTCTGCCACCCACATCTGGGGGGATTCTCAAACCTCCAAGTCAGGGGTCTTCCAACTCGGCCCTTTGATGACTTGTGGACTTCAACTCCCAGAATTCCTCAGCCAGTGTGTCTAACTAGGGAATTCTGGGAGTTGAAGTCCAGGGGTCTTCAAACCTGGCCCTTTGATGACTCGAGGACTTCAACTCCCAGAATTCCTCAGTCAGGCACGTGCCTGGCTGAGGAATTCTGGGAGTTGAAGTCCACAAGTCATAAAAGTATCATTGTTCCCTCACGCTGGCTGAGGAATTCTGGGAGTTGAAGTCCACAAGTCATAAAAAGGGTCCTAGTTCCCTCACACTGGCTGAGGAATTCTGGGAGTTGAAGTCCACAAGTCATCAAACACTCATAGTTCCCTCACGCTGGCTGAGGAATTCTGGGAGTTGAAGTCCACAAGTCATCAAAGGGTCATAGTTCCCTCACGCTGGCTGAGGAATTCTGGGAGTTGAAGTCCACAAGTCATCAAACACTCATAGTTCCCTCACGCTGGCTGAGGAATTCTGGGAGTTGAAGTCC